TTTGTTTGCCTTTCCCAGGGAAGCCAGGAAAGCAGTCGGAAATAATTGCAGGGCAGCGGAGGATAATGGAGATACTCGTGGGCCAAGGACATTATTATATATCTATATATCTGGCATATGCTAGTTGGGATTATAATAACGTTCGCCTGAGAGAGTTGGCAGAGCAATAATTCTGGATTCAGGAAGCGTTTCTTTAGTGCCACACAGCCTCAATGCATTCCACTTTGTCTTTTGTCTAAGCTAATGCACTGGAAAATATCTTTTTATTAACTTAGATAACTTTTAAACATATATAGTTTAATTTATAGTTTATAGTTTTATAGTTTTTTTCTTTAAATTTTCCAATCGTTTCTATGCCAGCTATACATATATATTTATATATATATATATATATATATATCATAATTACTTACTTGTCAAAGATACTCACTGTTCAGAGTTACTTACTGGTCAAAGATACTTAGTGTTCAGAGTTAATTACTGTTCATAGTTATTTATTGTTTACAGTTCCATAAATCGTCCGATTGTTCCTATGGCAGCTATATATATGTATATATATAGTCCACCGATTCGCCATGCTCCGATTTATATACTAGTATAATTATATAGAAGAAAAACTGCAGTTTCATTTCAATAGCTTGCTTTTAAATTTGCTACAAAACAAATCTCTCTCTGTACATATGATTCTCAACTGGTTCTAATATCCCCGGAACGAAGTGACTGCTGCCGGCCAAGTATCAGAATAGTGTTGTGTTACAAAAGTTGCAAGTCATTGTTTATTAGTGTTCAAAGTTAGTAACTGATCATGCATACTTTCTAGTCATAGATACTTATTGATCATAGTTACTTCCTGTTCAGAGATACTCACTGTTCAGAGTTACTTACTGGTCATAGATACTCACTCTTCAGAGTTACTTACTGCTCATAGATAATCACTGTTCTGAGTTACTTACTTGTCAAAGATACTCACTGCTCAGAGTTACTTACTGGTCAAAGATACTTAGTGTTCAGAGTTAATTACTGTTCATAGTTATTTATTGTTTACAGTTCCATAAATCGTCCGATTGTTCCTATGGCAGCTATATATATGTATATATATAGTCCACCGATTCGCCATGCTCCGATTTATATACTAGTAAAATTATATAGAAGAAAAACTGCAGTTTCATTTTAATAGCTTGCTTTTAAATTTGCTACAAAACAAATCTCTCTCTGTACATATGATTCTCAACTAATTCTAACATCCCCGGAACGAAGTGATTGCTGCCGGCCAAGTATCAGAATAGTGTTGTGTTACAAAAGTTGCAAGTCATTGTTTATTAGTGTTCAAAGTTAGTAACTGATCATACATACTTACTGATCATAGTTACTTACTTGTCAAAGATACTCACTGTTCAGAGTTACTTACTGGTCATTGATACTTACTGGTCAAAGTTTCTTACTATTCATTGATATTTACTGATCATAGTTACTTCCTGTTCAGAGATACTCACTGTTCAGAGTTACTTACTGGTCATAGATACTCACTGTTCAGAGTTATTTAGTGCTTATAGTTACTTAATGTTTATTGATACTTACTGATCATAGTTATTTACTGATAATAGTTACTTACTGATCATGTCATTAGATAATAAAGTTATATATATATATTTTTTTTAAATATATGTATTAAGAAAACTTACGATTAGTATAAAATATCACGAGATACTTAGGAACTTCGTCATTTTTTCACGTGTACTGGCTCTGACCGGCACGTAGTATATATCCTAGCAGCAACTCCTTTCCAGCTTCGTCCTTGTGCCGCATTAAAGTTTCATTTTCATTTGGCCTTTGCCACTTGGCATGCGAGAGAGCCACTCTTGACCTGGCTGAAAGGATACTAATCATAGTCCTGCCGCCATGCATCATCCTCTGCACATCCTCATCAGGTTGATTGCGAAAAATCACTAGAGAAATCAGAGCGAACTTCGTGATTCTCTCCACCCACAGACATGACACTTCCCAAATTTCCATCCTTCTCATTTTGGGTATTTTTAGGAAAAAAAGAGAAATAAACAAACATTGAAAATCAATTTCGTAATCAAAGCTTTGTCATTTTGCAGTTGAGGGAGGTTCATTGTCATTCCGACCTCCCTTCTTCTCTAAAATAAAATGACAACTGTGAACCATTAAATGCAAATATATAAAATTATCCTCAGCTGCTTCAATTATTCATATTTTTTTAGAGGTCTCTGGAGAGCAAAGAAATATGATGGAGGCCAAAGAAAATGTACTTGAATAAAAAGAAACATTTATATTTGAATCAAATCTCAAACAAAATGTTCAAAAAATATCAAAGGAAATAAAAATCAAATTGAATTAACAAAAATTCAAGTTTATTTTATTTGCTCTGATATTTATTGAATATTTTCTTTGAGAAATCAAAGTCAAATTGTTAATATTTATAGATCTCATAAATAATAAATTTATTAAATAATAATATAATAAATATGAATTATGAAACTTGGGGATAATCAATCATCCAGGCAAATAAAAAGTAATTATATGAAAGGTTAGTTACAGCAATAAGCTCAAATACAGAAAATAGTTTGAGTAATAATTGAATGAATGAAAATATTTTATTACTTGTTTACATATATAAAAAAACCAAGTTAATAGTTTATGTGGAAAACATATAGCCAAGTAATTGAAGTGATAAACAACCGAAACCCCGAAAACTTCCACAAGGCCAAAACAATTATAATTATTTGTTTATGTTTACTTATTTTTTTGTTGCTCACCAAACGAAACTTTAAAAGTGGAGAACAATAAGCTCTGAAGCTCATTTGTATTATAAAAATTAAACAAAATGGTTGTCCAATACATTGGACAAGGAAGTGAGCTAAGTTTCTGCTGTATTTTTATATAATTTCAACAGGACCTTTATGCCTCACTCATGTCCTGTCTGGAGATGGAAAAGTAGAGCAGGGGACAGGTCCCCCTGAGTGTCCCAGGTCGGCTGTCAAACATAATCACCTTGCCAGCTTCCCCCGGCTTCAATTCAGCCATATTCTCCGAGGAAATTTATGTTTTTTATTCGGTTTCGGGATGGACAGCAGAGACAAAAAGTCTGGCTGTGAATGAAATATTTTATTTCGGTTTCCCCGACCGCCAACTTATTTCATTTTTTAACACATTTTGTAATTTCAACACGTTGCCACGTACCGCAAAAGTTTCCTTTTGCCGGCGAGTGTCCACCACTCGGACTCGGACTCGGACTTGGACTTGGACTTGGATCTGGACTGGAATGATTAATGGTTGCGGGACAGGCTCCGAGTGTTGGCTGTGCCAAATAATAAATCGTTCAAATCGGCTGGGGATTATTTTTCCGAGTAGGCGGACCAAGTATTCTGCTCTGTCACCATTTGCGGAAAAGGTTTTTCCCTCTGAATTTGTGTTTTTTTTTGCGAAAAAAACGTGTGCGAAATTTGAAAATATTTGTGTACAAATGGTAGGAAATTTGTGGATTTCTATTAGATTAATATAAAGCCAAGGAATTGAATATGTTGAGGGATTGTGATGATAAATAAACTGGGGGTGAAAAATATATATAATATATAACCATTTAAACACTCATTCGGTAGCCAAAAGCCTAAACTTTTAATAACAACAACCGGTTGTTGGGTTACCTAATAATTTTGGTAGGATTTCCTGGAATATATATGTTAATGTAAAATTGAATAACAAGATTTGTTTTCATTTGCAAACAAAAACATGCCAAAACCAGAATAAAAACTAACTTCGGAAAGCCAAACAATATATACCCTAGAAGTTTGGAAATGGTTGAAGATCGAATCGGAAATGGATCATAATTAAGCTTAAAATATTCGCATTCCATGATTCGATGTTTTTATATGACAATTTTTTCAACAAATTAATGTTTAAAAATCTCATAACAAAGCCAAAAATGAATTAATTTTAATTCGGAAAGCAGTCATATGTTAGTTTTTATTGAATTAATAAATCTGCAAACTCAGTTTAAAAAGTAAAAATTATAAAATTTTTGCCAATTTTTCGACAATTTTAACGATGGAAAAAAAATAAAAATTTTGACAAAAATAAATTTTTGTTGTACATAGCTAAATCGATTCTCTAGTTGATGCTGATCAAGAATATATATGGTTTATAGGGTCGAAAATGACTTATTCAGACGTTACCAGCTTCTGACTAAATTGATGATACCCTGCAAGGGTAGAAAAACCAGTTCAATTTCTAACGGAGCGTCATAAGTTGGTTAAAATTAAAATTCACATAATATTAGAGTAGCTGGACGACGCATGCCGGCCATTATAATAATTTACTCTAAATTAATAGTTAAATTTGGCCATCTGATTAAGCACTTTTGGGGCGGTGTAATCAGGTTATTGCCCCAAGAAAAGCGTAAGAGGGCTCCCTCTTTCTCTCTGTCCACACGAATAGGGTCAAAAGCAGGGCCCAAGGCGGCAAGAGCACTTGGCCAAAAAATATACACAAATGGGCTAAAACAACCTCACACGAATCCAATGTATATAATGCGAAATACAAATAAAGCGAAAACAAACAGAACTGAAATTCCCAGCTGTCATATATTCTTCATTAACTTTTTTTTTGGGGGATTTCTTTCATTTCGCTGAGAAAAAATACCCGAGAGATAAACCAAGATGAGAGAGAAGCTGTGAGTTTATAACGATCTATGAATCATCTGAATCTAACTTTAGTTTTACGAGTCTGAGCCAGGTTTTAACTTTAAAAGAGGCTTCATTTGGTTTTTATTGCTACTTCTTTTGTTTATTGTCGGTGGAGTTGTTTGCTCAGTTATTCTTCTGCTTGTTTGACAGCTTCTCTTCCACCTTTATTCCTATATATAATATATATATATATTCTGAGATGATGATGATGATGATTCGCACTACGTCAGCGCTAGAAATTTCCATATAAAAGCCCGATGGATCGGCAACGCGCGTTTAGTCGATTTTGAACTTTTCTCGCGTTCGCTGCCTCAGTCTTTCGTTCGTGCTTAACCCTAGAAAGCTTAACCCTTGCAAAATGAAATACGTCGTGCTTGCCATCGCTCTGTTCGCGATTTCTGCCGCCTCGGCTTCTTCCGGTGAGTCGCAAAATAATTATATTTAGTGACTTTTAATGGAGTGATTAGAGGCCTGCCAAAGTCTGCAATTACATCATCAGCGCACGGGCTGTGTTCAAGCCAAGGCTGTTTATCATCATGTTTATTATTAATTTGATTAACAAGTCGGCAGACGGGTACGACTTGTGGGGTACGAGTATGTTAATAATACTTATATACCCCAAAAATAAAAAAACCTATCGAACTCCGGCACGGGGAACCCAAACTGGTTTGTGAAATTCGCTGGCTCATTAACTCTTTGAGCGACAATGTTTGCCCTGCGAAACTTTCCGAACATTAATTTCGATTTTTTGCTTATAATCAAGCAATTCATATTCACATTAGTTTTGAACATTCACGCGTCTCAAGAGTGGACAAACTTTCACACTATAAATAGAAATTTGAATAATTGTTTGCGAAGTAAATATAAAAATGCTCGTATCACAAATAGGACTTATATTTTGCACGGATATATATTTTAATGTGAAATTGTTGAGAAATTCAAATTTGTTTTGTATTTACTTTTATCAAAAAGTTTTTACTTCTAATAAAAAATATATTAATAAATCCTGGAAGTGCATTTCAAAGAAAGACTTACTAAGTTTTTAAGATACAGATGCTCTATAGGCTGTCAAGTCTTAAAAAGTCTATTTAAAGCTGAAATTACTAAAATTAAAAGTCGTAACAACAAATTGAGATTTCTGTATCCCTAAATAGTCCCTAATTTTAAATTAATATTTAAATCTAGCTGGTCAGTTCTTGCCCCGTGCCTTCTTCACCTTGGACTCTGAGGGTCATCAGTCGGATGTTCATCCGGTGAATGCCCATCTGCTGAGGCGTCTGCGTCGCCAGGTGACTGGCTCATCCTCCTCCTCTTCCTCCTCCTCCTCCTCATCTGATGGCGGCAGTTATACCTTCGTGTCGCACTCCGTTCAAAATGCCGATGGTTCGGGACAGGCTGGCTCCTCCTACACCCAACATGCTGTCCCAGCGGGGTAAGGTCATTTGGATATGTGCCCCAAAGTACAGTTAGTAATAATTATTTGATGACTTTTAGTGGCGTGAGCTTTGAAAGCCGCTTCGGTGAGGACTCGTCCACGGGCAACAATGGAGCCTACAATACCGGGGCCTACAATACCGGAGCCTATAACCCTTCCTACAGCTCCGCCTCCAACATTAATACCAATGCCGGATATGGAACCCTCAGTAGCTCCCAGCAGAGCTACGGATCTGGCGTCGTGCCCTCCACTCAAATCCATCAGACCATAACGACCTTCGATTCTGCGGGTAACCAAAAGGTGACCACCATCCATGGTGCCACCGATAAGACCGGTGTCCTGAATGTGCAGAAGGATGTGACCAACTACAGCGGCTAATAAATGGATTCATATCCATTTAGCTTAGATAATTCGAGTGTGTATGAGGTGTAACTTTGAGTAAAATAAAATAAAGTAAATTAAAGTAATGGAAAGTTCTTTTGAACTATTTGAAATCTGTGAAGAGTGTTTTAAAAAGAATAGGATGTGATCCTATGTATGTAATGTCTATATATAACTCTTGCTAATGGTGTTTTTGTACTTTATCCCGCTTGCCTCTTGTATTGGTCAATTAATTGTTTCCAAGTGGGCGCACTGACACGCCCCTTCCAGATGTCGCAGCTTATTCATTGCGGTGCCTATCGCTTCCACCTTTCAAATGCTCTTTTTTACACACTCTAGATGATTGCATCCCACATTCTCGGTACAGAGAGAAAAACAGGAGCCTTGTTTATTTATTTAAATAAATATGTTTCAAAACCACACTTCATTTAACCCCCGATTAATCCTTAAAAAATATATTTATCTGAACAGAAAACTTTAAATTCTGTTCCAACTGAATATTTCCCAGTGCCTGCCTTCAGCATCCTTCGTCCTTTACCCTTTTGCCAAGTTTAATCTCGCGTCAAAAAGAGATGGCAAAGTGTGAGGAAAGGAGAAAGATGGAGAGTCCTTGTGCTCTGCTGAACACAAACAATTGCAAAAACAGAGGCGTGCTTAGGAGGGGGGACTTATCGCTCGAGTGTGGGCGTGGCAGGCAGTGTTGGTAAATGCTTTTAGCGAATTAGAGCAGCCAAGCGGAACTTGCACAGCCTCCGGAAAGCTGTTAGCGATGATTAAAAACTAGTGCACTCTCGCAGCCACAAAATGCGACAAAACACTATATATATCCCACCAATTTCTAATTTGGAGCGAGATATGATGACTATGGAATGGAGTATGTAGTGCCACACAAGATATGAATATGGGATTTGCTTGGGGAATTGCCGAAATCTCAACAGGTGCACGCACTTTTCATCACACACACACCACACACACTGTCACTCCTGTAATCCTTCTTCAGACTTGCCCGAAAAGTTTGTCGAAAAGTTTTTAATTATTATAATTAATTACTTTGATCTCTGACTGGCAACTCGCTCCTTCTCGCTGCTATTAATTTACTTGATTAAGATGCGGTTTTCCCCCTACCCCTCTCCCCCTTGTTGTTGTACTTATTAAAATGTATTCCACACAATTCGTTATTCGGAAAGTGTAATGAATTTACTTTTCCACCAAGACCTGCGCTGAATGTGATAGATTTTCATTAGCCCAGGACCTTTGCATGTGTGTATGTGTGCGAGTGTGGATGGGTTAAGGTGAAGGGTTAATTAGGGCGGAGTTTTCCAGAAGGATTTATGGGGTTTATTTGAAAGGAAGAAGGAGTTTGTTAATTAAAAGTATGAGTTACTTTCAACTATGCATAATTAAGGGTTTTTAATTTAAGATTTTTCTAGCAAATTCTTAATCAGCATCTTAGAGCTATCAAAAATATATAAGCCCATAAGAAAGATAAGGCTACGTTGATTAGATAAAATAGATAATAATAAATTTCCCTACTAAGAGGCCGCCTCTCCACCTCTCCCTCTCTCTCTACGCTCTACCCTTTCCCTAAGTCGTACTCTCGCTTTGTAACTCTCCAGGTTTCTCCTTCTCTCTGGGTGTCTCTGCCCACCGCTAGAGATAGCTCTTTCTCTCCAGCTCTCCCGCTTTCACTTTCTCTGTTCTCTTTGCACGGGGACTATAAATAGAGGCACTGCTTTCGCTCTGGCCTCAGTCTGTCCGCGGCCTCTGCGCTGTTCACATCTAGAGTGATGGTGGTAATAATTGTGATACAATTGCATGTTCAATGTTAATAGCCTTACTTAATTATAATTATATATATAATTATAGGATTTCTTTCTCCAACGATAGTTTCAGACCTTGGTGCCAACTTTTGCTTAGTAATTAATACTTTTGCAGGGTACTATAAGTTTAGTCAGAAGCTTCCAATGCAGTGAAGGAACCATTTCCGACCCTATATATTATATAAATTCTTGGTCAGCATGAACAGCCGAGTCGATCTAGCTATATCCGGAAAAAATTTAATTTTTTCTAAATTTTTATATATTTTTTGGGCCAAATTTTACATAAACCAAAAGTTTAAAATTGGTCAAAAATTTAAATTTGTATACTTTTAAAACTGAATATGCAGATTTGTTAACCCTATTAAAACTAGCACAGAAAAGCAATCCGAATTGAAATTAATAAATGTTTGGCTTAGTTATGATATTTGAAAAACTTAGGTTTCCCAAAAAATGAGTATATATCGATTAAATATATATTTCTATTGGCAATTAAAATCTTAAATAATAAGAGGCAAAACAGAATTGCATTCCATATTGAAATTAATGCATTTTTAGCTTACATTTGAAAACATGATCTTATGGTTAAATGCAATTGTTTACACACTTCCGCTCATCGAAGTTAGCTTCGTGTTTTGTTTTTATTGAAATTAGTTAATGAGTTTATGAATTAACTTCTATTTATAGTGCTTAAGCTCATTCCAGCTATAATTGCATGATTCAACCTTTGACTTTGAAGAAGAAACAGGTGTAGATTTAGCCTTATGACTCTTTACCTCATCCCCAAAGACAGTCTTCAAGCATAAACTTTTATTATTAGAAGAAACCCCCAAAGCTTTTGAATTCTTCTAGGCCTGAAGAAAAGCTTTTTCGAAGCTGAAGATAGAGAGAGAGCTGGAAGACGGCAAGAACATGCTACACTTGGCGTGCTCTGAATTTCGATGAAAACGGGACTGGAGCAAAAAGAGTCACCATTCCAAGGATGGACCACGGAGGAGAAGGAGGAGTCTTGGCCGGAGTGGAGTGGAGTGAAGGCATCATCGCATTGGAGCCGCTGATTGATGGGGAGTCACGCGGAGACAGCGGACAACTTGCAACAAATTAAGCGTCTTGTGTGGTCGAGCGTTGCGGTAGATCGACGCCACCTGGTCAGGTATCCACCACCCCGGCAGCCCCTTCACTTCCTCATCTCCTCCTGCTACTGCTTCACCTTATCCTCATGCGATTTATACACTGAAAATTAAGCAAAGTTTCTCTGGGACATTGCTCATTTCATGATTTAGTTAAATTAATTAAGTTGCAGAGTTTTATAAATATAACAGCGAAAAAGAAAATAATAGTAAAGTTACTAAGTTATAATAATTAATATTATAATATTGCGATATTAATCCTCAAATCGATAAAATCAAAGAAAGAAAAACTCAAGTAAATAAAATAACATTTCCTAGATATTTATATTTAAACGGTTTTCAAATTATTCATATATTTTGATTTATGGTTCGCTTTCTTTCGTGTTAATATAGTTTTCTCTTTTTTTCAAATATTTATTATTATCAGACTAATTATGATGGAAATTAAATTAATTTCCGTGCATTATCGACTTCAATTGTTAGGTTCCAGAGAGTGACCACCGCCGGCGATGCCTAAATTCAGTTGGACACGAGCGCCGATGCAGAGATCAAGTGACATTTTATTGTCGGCAATCGCTGGCTTTATTTTATATTGCCTTTTTTTCACTGCTCCTGGTTCTGTTTTCCTTTTTTTAGTATTTATTTCGTTTTTGCCATTGGCTGCATTTGCTATTTAGAGGCATGAAAGCAGCGACGGATAATTGACAACAGTTAATTCCATTCCATTGATCGCCGGAGCGTTGAAATGTCGCAAATTTAATTATTGAAGCCGCACGCTGCCAGTTCAATTGGAATTGGAATTGGAATTGGAGTTGGAATTGGTCCTGGAATTGGAATTGGAAGCGGCTTCCTCAGCTGACCGTGGGTGGGCAGCAATGTAAAAGGATTCCAGGGAGGACAAGCAGGAGTTTATAATGGGCGTAGACTGGAAAAAAATAAGAGAAGGCGCCAGGAAATTAATAATTAATGGACGACTTAGCAGGAACTTAAAAGATTTTTAAACAATTTGAATATATTTAATTTATTAAGTTGGAAATCCTAGTTGTAAGGTCCTTTTCGACACACCCCTGAGGTTAAGTGAGAAAGCCTTAAGCACTTTTGGGCCTTTAAGTAAAAACAAACAAAATGTTGCAGGAACAGGAAGCAGAGGAAGGAGGAGCAGGAAAGCAGCACAGGAAAGGCAGTGAAACTCTGGAAGAGCCGCCAGGTGAGTGCCGCCAAACGAGAACCAAACAAAACGAAACATTTACTGACAAATTTCTGTCATTTCAGCAGGAGCTGGGCATAAAGTTTGTCCGAAAAAAATAAAAGAAAATGCAGGAGAGCTTTCAAAAAAAAGCGAGAGAAAAAAACAAACCAGGACACCAACGATTTGTGCAGTCATCGGAAGCGGAAGCACTGCCAGGACTCGGGCTCTCTTCCTCCCCTCCTCCAAGGACCAAGTGACGAGGACCATCAGTGACTGAAGGATAACGAGTAGAGCCAGGAGGAAGGAGCACGCTCCTCTGTTGACTTAAATCGTTTAGGTAAAGTTAAACAACTTGTTCCGTTAATTGTTAAACAATGCTCAGGCAACTGAGTGAAAAAATGCATCGAAGTGAGGCAGGGCCTTCTTCAGTTCAGTTTTCCTCTTTTCCCCATTTTCCTCAGAGATTGACAGAGATTGCCGGGAATAATTGATGGGAAAACTGAGAGCAAACAGTTGAAGGGAAAACTGAAATCATAAAGTTGATGGAGTTTGTGTTGATTTAAGATTGTTTGTTAAAAACTGAACTTAATTAAAATGCTTTAAAACTACTTTTCTTGTCTATGAACTTGTACAATTTCCCTACACATTAACTTTATTCTAGAAGTCTTAAATAAACTCTAGCTTTTCCACAAATGTCCCCTGATTACCATCATAATAAGTACTTCCTTGATAATTTAAACTAATTATTCATTTTCCCATACATTTTCATAACCCAGAAAATATAATTATATCTAGAGTTGAGTACTCCTCTAGTATCCAAAACTTTAATTGATGTTCTTGATGAACCTTTTTTCATGCAATATGTGCACTTTTCCGACATTTGTTACTCCTTTTCCTTTTTGGCCAAAAAAAGGGTGAAATTTCCACCCAAAAGTGAGTGTGTGTGCGTGTATAATAAAATAAAATAAAAACGACAACAACAAACCGAGAAGGGGGTTTAAGAGCAATAGCATCTCCATATGCAGACGTTGATTTCCGTTTCCGTTTCCCTTGGGGCATTATCCTTTTCCACCCACTTTTAATGGGTTTGTGTGTGTGGAAAGAGCAACTGACCCCGCAAAAGCCTCTTCTTAACTCACTCTTCGAGGTAGATGACAATGCAGCCTAGGAAAAATACAAATAAACAGGGAATACAAATAAATATTGGGTTATAGTATAGGCCAGGTAATATATTGACTTTCTCCGCATTAATTAGCATTTTAACATTGATTTGTTGAAAATAATTGTCACACAAAATTATAAATAAATAATAGCTCAAAGAATGGTATTATAAATTAGCCAGAAGCTTGAAAAGCAGTGAAGGAACCATTTCCGACCCTATAAATCATATATATTCTTGATCAGCATCAACAGGCGAATCGATCTAGTCAAAAGTTAATTTTTTCAAATTTTTATTTTTTTTTACATTGTTGAAGTTGTAAAAAAATTGGCAAAAATTTAAAATTTTTACATTTGAAACTGAGTATGCAGATTTATTAATCTAATAAAAACTAACATATGACTGCTTTCCAAATTAAAATTAATCCGTTTTTGACTTAGTTATGAGTTTTTAATTATTCAGAACTTGAAAAAATTTTACAAGAAATATAGATAAACATCAATTTTAAGAATGCTAATATATTAAGCTCAATTCCCAATTCAATTTTATAATTCGAATGCAAACTGAAGTTAATTTCCATTAGTTATACATAATTTCCTTAGGCCATTGAATATATTGTTTTTGACTAACTCTTTCTTGCTTAAATATTTAATTTCATATAGGTATTAAATATTTATTTAATCTAAATTGAAAAGCAGTGCGACCGTCGATAAGGCAGTTGTTTAGCTCTCTTCGTATTTCTATGGGCCAGCGGCCTTTACTCTTAAAAGCACTGAGAAACGCTCTTAAATCCAAAGCAGCGCTTTCTTATTGGTTTAAACTGATAAGAAAAAACGAAAAAAAAAAAAACATAGAAAACAAGCAAAATAGAAACCAACGAAAGAAAGAAAGTGAGAAAATTCAACGGGTAAAAAGAGAATTTTTTGTATATTTTTCTTAAATTTAACTTAGATGCTGAATTATTCATACAGCTGCATTACAAATACAAATCATGTACAACCTAAATTCAATGTTTTGAAAAAGAAAGAAGAAATTATTTATTGCAACAAAAAAAAAAAAAGGGTGAAAAATGCGGAAACTAAATTAAAATGCATTACAAACAATAAATAAATTTGTCCGTGAAACCTATAGGGTGTCCTTCGTAAGCAATGCATATTAAATTTATGATGTTTTTCAGGTTTTTAATTTGACTTCCTTTTTTCTGACTCACAAATTTAATAGAATTGTTCAAAATGTTCCGTCAATTAAGCTTCCGTTGCACGAATTTTCCACTTTTGTGCACAAAAACAAACATTTCGAATAAAAAAACGCGGGGTTTGTTTGCATATTTAATAAAGCTAATCAAAAACACGTCGCGCCCCCTCGCCGGACTCGGAATCTGGGAATATATATACCCATATATATATATATATATATATATTCTCGAACTCGATCGGGGAGTGAGGGGTTGAAGGCCGTGTGTAGTTGCACTCCGACAGCATCCTTCACATAATTTATTGGTCCTGGCTCAAGGACACGAAAGTCGGGGAGAGAAAAAATAAAAACAAACGGATATATCGAACAAAACTGTGAAAAACCCAGCGGGAAACCGCCGACGGCAGCCAAACTAATTTGTTGTCATTTTTATGCGACAAAAAAAGGAAAACAATAAATGCAGTAAAAACAAATTGTCAAAAAAAAGAAAAACAGAGGATTGGACAGGGGGAGGACGAAGGCAAGGAAGATCCTTGCAGCTGCCGTGAAACTGATGAATTATTGATTTAATTTATATTTATAGTTTTGTGCTTTGGGTTTTTTTATGTAAAAAAAGAATTTTTAATTCATTTTGGACTAAACAAAATATTCATAGACTGGCATTTATTATATACATTTTTTTTTAATTAGTATTATTTGTTTAAATAAAATGAAGGAGATCTTTTCAGTTTGCCAAGATACCGTTTATTTATTTATTGAATTAATTGTTTAAGGTGACAGACATGTTTATTAAAACAAACAAACAAGCTTAAAGTTTAATATAAACGTAAATCTGTACATACTTTATGAATGAAAAATATTGAAAGGAAATTCTGAACAAGAATTATGTTTAAAGAAAATTAATTATTAGGTTGGACTCACTTTCATATTTGCAATATTTAGTTTCGGCGTAATAGTTATAAAGATTCAATAGGGATTTTTATTAAAGATGATTTAAATTATATAGTATTAGTATATCCAGTTACAGCACGCTCTTAATTTATATTTCTCTTAGTTTATATTTTACCAAAACGGTATTAATACAATCATGGTATATATCAATTTCATTGACGACAAACTAACCTTCAGCTTAATCTCTGATCTGACCCCAGTTATCACTCCAATATCAATATGCATAATCCTGTGATTACAATCCCCGGAAATCGCGTTTGTCGGGAAATCGGGTGTAAGGAAAAACAAATAACAAATACAAGTGGAAACGACTGCGGAAGTCAACAAATGCTCTTAATTAACGATGCTGAACACCAGAAATTTCGAGTGTCAACTAACAATTTTGTGGGTGCCGTGTCCTTTGTGTCGCTGCGAGTCCTGCGGCACTCGTTAGTGGAAAGGATTTTCGCGCATATGGACTGAAATTGATGATGTGAGCAAGTGGCACGTAATCAATTTACCAGAGCCTGTAGTGAGCCTCTGCCTCATTTCGAATGCGAATTTAAGATGCCATTGTCCCACTGCATCCCCTTATATTTTTTTCTGTATTTTCGGGATTTCAAGGGTGGTTCCGAGTCCTCATTACACTGGCCACCATGGCTGGTGTGGCCTGGTGTAACAAAATATCCACAACATATGTCCAACTCGGCGGCAGAATGTTCAAAATTCAATTGCTGAAACTCTACAATGCGGTTGTAATCCGGCTTTAAGTCGCAACGAGTTCGAATTGCCAATTAAATGGTGGTTAAATATTAGAAAATAAATATTATTAAAGGATTAAATAATATTTCTAATACTTCTAAAATTTATAAGTACCCGTGACAGTATATTTTTCAATATTCCAAAAATATCCCCCATAAATTTCATTTCTCACTTAATATTCACGCTTTTATGGCCCAAAAGCCTCTTAGTTAAGTTGATGGGGAGCTTGAATTTTCAATGGTAAAAGGTGATACTTCTCCCTTTCTTCCTTCACATTTGGGATATTCATTCATTTTATTTTGTGTCTTATTTCAAAGGACTTTCGGGTCGCCCTTTTATGTTCCTAATGTCGCATAAACAGTGCTTAATAATGCACTAACCTGGGCGCAATGCCACTAACCGTGTAAAACGTGGCCGAAAATATAAAATAAAAAATATAAGTAAACAACACACACACGGGGTAGTCCTGGGAGAAGGACTTGTCCTGCGCCCGTCGACGTCAATGGATAAATATTTAATTCGTGTGCGTTTTTGGATCCTTTTCGGTGTAGGTATTTTAGGGAAAATTTAATGGCCACGTATCAAGGAGATATGTGAGGAGTAAGAGGCGGTCCTTTGTCCCCAATGAAAATTTGACTTGCCGAGGACGAGGATGAGTACGACCTCGGGGATCAGCTTCTTGTTTACCTGGGCACTCTCGCTTTTCGTTTTCCTATTGAAATATTCCGTTTGACCTCCTTGGCAAACATGTGCGCGGAGGAGTTCCAAAATTACAAAAAATATAAAGGAAACAATAAATGTTGTTTGCCTGGCGATATATGAGGAGAGGATGGGAGAGGAGTCCTTGCTTAATCACCGCTTTCATTATGCCATCAGCCGACTTTTGCTGATTCGCACAATCGGAAGCGATTACCACACAATCACGGGGGTGGTCCTCCGCCCAGGAAAAGGGGGTTTTTGCGGGGCCAAAAAGCACCCCCAGAGTGCAATTAGCACAGGCAAACTATAAAATTTCAGTGTTTCTACGTTCAGTGTTTGTCTTGTTAGATACTTTGGCAGATACAGATACGTCTGTACAAAGGATGATGCCTCCTTCCCCCGACCCCACCCGAGCTTCTTCCAGAGACTCAACCACACATGGAGGGCACGTTTAATTGGCCTTCTGTGGCCTGGCAAGAACCCCATCTTGGCAGCACTTTAATAAAAGTCTCTCCGAGTTCCAAAAAATATATCCCCTTTAATACGTGTAAATCAACCTACACAGATGCCTTTCGTGGATCAATAAGACCATAATCCTCGGGCTGAAGGAACTCCTCGATCACAGCATTGGTCATCCTGTTAAGCTTCTCCTGCAGATCCTCCCAGTCCTGCTCCTCCGGCAGACCAGCAATCTCGGCATTGACCTTTATCATTGGGACTTGGGCTTGGGCATCCACTCTCAGAGTGACAATGAAGCCATTCGTAAACGTGAAGGTGATCATGTGGGTCGAGGGATCCACTGGCATTTTTGCCTTCCGATCGGAATATGAGGTATCCAGTCCAGTGGTCAAGTCCCGGACATGCACCACCTCGAACTCGCCCTCAAGTATGCTCTTGGGATAGCCGAAATCCTCCGTGGATTTTCTTATCCTTTCGAAGATGTCATCAATGACCTCGGATGATTCCGCCTCCAGGTACGAGCTCAGGGAGGAGTGGAAGCCATACGTCTCATAGATCTCCCGGAGTTTCTCAATTAGTGTCACATTCCGGCTGCTCCTTAGGTGGCAAGCCATGGTGGCCAGCTGCATGGCAGGTCCGATGCCATCCTTGTCCGGTATAGCCATGCCAAACATATAGCCAAAGCAATCCTCAAAGGCAAAGAGCACCGTCCGTCCGGCTTTTTCCAGCTCCAATGCCCGATTGGCCATCCAGGGGAAGCTGGGCATGCCCTCCACGTAAACGAATCCCTCCACGCGGGCCATGGAGGCCAGGATGCGAGAACCAATCACTGAGCCTATCATTATGCAGTTGGACACCTGCGGCTTGGCCACCCGCACCTTGTAGCTCTCCAGGGCCCACCAGCCCAGCAGGGCGGCCAGTTCGTTGCCAGTGAACACCTTCCAGCGTCCTCGAGGATCCAGCTCCGCCACGGCCAGACGATCCCCATCCGGATCATTGGCCAGCACCAGAGTGCAGTGCTCCTGCTCTGCTTTCTTGATGGCCAGCCTCAGGGCCTCCCTTCCAGCTGGAATATACATATAATCAGTCAAGATATAGATATAGAGCCTCCTGTTACTTACATTCCGGATTGGGCTTTTGTAGAGTAGGGAACTCCGGATCCACATCCTTCTGCTCGGGCACTGGGATCAAGGGCTTGAGTCTTGCCTGGTAAAAGGCCTCCCGCATGAAGGGAAAGCCCACTCCATGCAGCGGTGTGTAGACGAATCTCAGTTGGCTGCACTCGTTGGACTCCAGAAAAGTCGGCGGAATGAGCTTCTTCACAGCCGCATAGAACTGCGGGAATATGAGGCGGTAGGGATCTTCGAGCAATGGATTTCCATCCAGCATAGAGAGCTCCCAGGACGAGGCCTTCGGCTCCAGGTTCTTGCCAATATACTCATTGATTCGCTGATCATGCGGATCCATGACCTGGGCCCCATTGGTCCAATAGACCTTGAGACCATTGTCCTCCTTGGGATTGTGCGAGGCGGTGACAATGACCCCAGCCAGACACTTGAGCGTCACGATTGTGAAGGGGATGAAGGGTGTGGGAACCATCCGACTGAATAGTAACACCTTAAAGTCGTTGTTCAGGAAGACGGCGGCTATGAGCTGGGCAAATCGCTTGCTATTGTAACGCCCATCGTAGCCCACGACCACGCCCTGCTCCGTGCGCTTCTGGATGCTCGGATAGAAGTCCATCATGTAGGCGCAAATTCCCTGGGCCGCCCCAATGATAACCACATCGTTGATGGAATCGAAGCCCGCCCGCATCCCGCCTCGCATTCCAGTCCCGAGGTACTGAATCCTGCTGCACAGCCTTATCCGGAGCACATCCCAGTCCTCCTCCTTCACCGCCCCGGTCACCTGGTTGAGCGTCGCCTCGTTGCGGTCCCACAGCACCCAGTGGCGGATCTCGATGTCCAGCTCCTCGTCGCCGGACAGGGTGAGTGCCTTGAGCAGTTCCTGTGGCGACATTGCCGTCTTTCGCTTTCCCGAGGACATATTTTCTGGTTTCTTTTTTCAAATCTTAAAAACGAAAATGGAAATTTTGAACACAAACACAATTTATTGAAAGGTTGAGTTAAAGTGCCCTGCATTTTAATAAATCGACTCGCCAGTTGATGCTGATCAAGAATATATATATATTCGTCTCTAAATTCTGACTAAAATTATAATACCATTCTTTAAACCGTTATTTATTTATATTGTTATTTGACAATTTTTCCAACAAATCAATGTTTCATAACTTCATAGCTGAGCCAAAAATGCATTAATTTTAATTCGGAGTCCTAGGTTAGTTTTTATTAGGTTAATAAATCTGCATACTCAGTTAAAAACTTAAATTTTTGACATTTTTAACAATTTTAACGATCTAACAATGTCTAGATCAACTCTCCAGTTGATACTGATCAGGAATATATATGATTTATAGGGTCGGAAATGGTTCCTTCACTTCTTAATTAATATTTTAGTACTATTCTATTACAATTAATGGAATCATACAGTCCTTTAAATTAATTATTAATATTCTTCTTAAGGTATAAAACTAGAGTTGAAAGTATAAACAAAATGAATCTCTATGTATTTAAAATCAAATTTGTATATAAAATGCTTCTTTAATTTCATTAAACTGTATGCTAAGCCATACATTACCATTTTTGTTGGGTTTTTTTAGAACCCTTTACGAGGACCATTGACCAATTGAAAATTTATGGGCCCAACTCATTGCGATTTACGAGCCCCGGGAGGGAGACACAAGCGGCTAAGCTCCATCAACCGCAAATTGATCCATTGGCCATTTGATTTTGCTGGATTTATGGCCCAGGAAAAGTGCGAGGAAAAGGGAAAGTCCAGCCGGATTTTCGAGGAGGCGAAGAAACTCTCGTATTCGTATGTGTGAAATATATTTTATGAAATGTCCCCGCATATGCCTTCCCTCGCCCGTTGCCATAAACACGATTTCAATTTGTCATCAATTATGCAAAGCGAGTCTAGGAATGTGGTCCTCCTGCTCCTGCTCCTTTATTGTGGTCCTTTGGCCAGGTGGAGTGGGTAATTTGCAGAGCGGTAATTGGGTTACACAGGCGCATGCAACATTTATCAGCCACCCGCCATGCTCCCCCGCCTTTTGTCTGATGTCCTGATGTCCTGATGCCATCCCTCCACTGCAGGTCCTGTGTGGGTTCGCCCGCTCTGCCCTCCCTCCGACACGTCAATTGCATTCTAAACATTCGGCGTCGAGCTCTCAGCTCTCCGCTCTCAGTAGTCCCCACACAAGCCGCAGGAGCTCATCGGCATGCAATGCGGCATTAGTCCTTGCACAGGATAACGCACACACACACACACACTCGAAACGAAATGCATTTCGCGTCAAATTGTCAGAGTGTTAATTAAAAATGGACACTTGAATAGGCAGAAGGATAGACAAAGCGCTGCAGTTGCCCAGCCTCGTCGGTGGTTGTGGTAATTGTCCTGCACTCTGCCGAACATCCTTGCCCCGGCCACACATTCGCGAATAAATCCTCATTGGGTATCTCTAAGGAAGAAAATATGGGATAAGATGCAGGAATACAAGTTAGAAAGAAATATAATCATGAAATATTATCTAGAGTTAGGAGTAGAAATATAATATAGAAATAGAATTGAGAATACAGAAATAGTAGAGTAGAATATAGGAGTACAATTTAGTAACAGAATTTAGGAATAGATTTTAGAAATTAAATTTAGAAATAAGTTTAGTTTTAATAACAAGAAAGAATTCCCTCCCTGTTTTATGTATTTAATAATGCAACTTTTTAGATGCTTAATCTTTCATTTACAATAACAATTTCGTATTGATTTAATTTCTCATACTTTTCTTATTTAAAAATTCCCAAGACAAACAACCTATAAGCTAAAGCAAAAGTGTGATAAAGCAATTAAAACCTTATTAATATCGTATGTACCAGCCACTTGAACTATCAAATCCTATAACATACATGATTTATCCGCTCAAAATTCACTGATTTGTTTAATTTTTATAATTTATTGAAACAATTTCCTGTACGCACCGAATTCAACTTGATAAATCCAACTTGGTCCCAAGGAAATGAACCCAGAGAAGTGTGATAAAGCAATTATAGACCCATAAGTAGAGCCCCACTTGCCTTGTTTCAAGTTGATTTATGGAGTTTGGTTATTTAATGGAAGTATATCCAAACCTTCACTATTCCCCGATCTCCCTCCACCTAATCGGATTTGTTTTAAGTGCTCTCCCGGCTTGGTGATATTTTCCACATTTGCATAGAGAATGCTCGGGCAATTTACTTTACGGCGGGAATCTCTTCCTGCGGCAACAAATATTGAGTGTTTACGGCCCATGGCTCCTGTGAGATTTACCCCCAGATCCATCCAGACCCAGACCCATACCCAGACCCATGCCATATCCTATTCCCATTCCGAAATGCAGCCTGGCAGATAATGCGTTTGCATAATTTTAATCGTTGGCATCTCTCGCCAGGATTGCTGTTGTGTGAATTTTTTATGGCACCCGCGAGTGTCCTGTGCGGCCAGGATGTGTGCGATCTCCTCCTGATTTTCAAGTCGAATAACTAACGCTATCGAAGCTATTAATATGCTAATCTAATATATTTTATGGCAGACCAAGGAGGAAGCCCAACCCCCGAAGGAAGAGCTTGCTCTTTCGGCGTTCCATCAGAATTAAAACCGAATCATTCATCTCATTCGCCCCCAAATTGAAATTGACATTTTGTTTGAGAATCTTGGAATTATTTGACATTTTTTCATTCCAAACATATTTGGGTAATGCAAATCAGTTGGAGGATTGAAGGATTTTGCGCCTTTTGAATGTACCAAAAGTGGTTTTAATGTCTCTGCGACTGATGATGAGGCTGACATTTAAGGTCCTTTGGCAGCAGCTGGTCCTTGACAAATGTGAAATAAATGCAAATCTCCTTTGGTCTGAACTTTGATGAATCTAATTTTCTTCAGAGAGATGGAAAGTAAAAGGGAAATGACCGCATCGTCCCCTCACAATAGTTGGCAAAAATCGCCTTCAAGTTGCCAAATAAATTCGATGTAATTTATTTAAGGACAGGGGGAGACTTTTCATATTTTCATATATTTCCCGGAAAATGAAATTTACATCATTTGTTTATTTGTATCGCTCATGTCCTGGCCTGTCCTGCGGTCACCCCCGCTGCAAATCCTGTGGGAATACCCAAAAGCCAAGCAATTCAGTAAAAGAAAAAGAAACAACATTGCAAATTTGATTACCGCCCGCAAAATAAAAAAAGGAAATATATTTTTTGTTTTTTTGCATATATATAAATTTATCATTCTTTTTTGTATGCCTCTGCTCCTTGCCAAGTTCCTTTGAAATTAACGCATTATGTTTATGTATTAGATGCAAATAGGAATGGCCAAAGGACCTTCACACTCGGCTGGCCAAAGGGTCAGAAATCCAATTTTGCATTTGCCATTTGCCTGAGGGCAGTCTCCTTTTGGCAAACATTTTTATTGCACATCAAATTGCTTCAGTCCAGGAAGGACTTTCGACTTCTGTGTTGTCTGCTTTTCCTCCTCCTTTTCGAGTAAGGATTTTAATTGCCAGCATTGATTCCCTGCCATGTGCAGTCCTCTATATCTATGTAGATGTTTTCTCTGGCAGCTCGTAAGCGGTTTCGCAATCACCATTACCATGGCGCTTCCCCATAAAGCTTTCCAATTTTCCTCGCATTTTCCCAAACCAAAGAGACCCTGTCACCTCAAGCCTAATCAGCTGAATGCGATTTCGGTGTTTTCCCTGGTCGGGAAAATGTGTGAAAAGCGACGACAACGTGACAGGCTTCAAAAGGGTTGAACTTTGATGGAATTGTTGGCACTTTTCAACCCAAAAAAATGTACAAAATAAATGTATAGAATATTTGCAATATATTTATTTTCGGCGGGGTTAAGTCACAAGAGACCGAACTTGACACTATCTAAACATCAAGTGTTTTTCCTGCCTGTCAATTTGTTGCTTTGCATGAGGAAAATATTAAAGGAGGAAAATCAAAGGCAGGCGAGAAAAGCTAGGCAGTTTGATTGATAGATTCACTATCCTTGGGTTAGGATAGGATATTTAAAATTATATCTAGAGCCTTCTCTAAAAAATAATTCAATTTCGTCTGCTAAAAAATCCTCCTTTCAAAGGAGACCCCAGCAGAATTTTGTGCTCGAATCATTGAACTCCAATTATGACTCTCTCAGTGAACTGTAATTAAGGATTATTGTCATGTCCTGACGATGGCCAGAGATGTCCTCCTTTGAGCTGGATTGCAAAGCCGCCCGAGCCGGCGATGTGGCAGAAATATAAAAATTATTGATTATCAGCATTGGCATCTCAGCGATTTGTGCCGCGGTTTCAGTGTCTCAACTCTGGGTTGTTTTTTGCTCTCTTCGGTTAGGTTCTGTTCTGTTCGATCCCATCATTAAAATCATTGTGCGATATCGACACCTCGACCAGCACTTTTTTCCGCGTTTTTTTATGTGCCAGCAAAACCCAATAAATACTCTGGTTGCGGAGACAAAAAGCGAGATCGTTTCGCTTGTCGCACAAGTGTTGTCAACAGGTTCTGCGGAATTCGCCACAAACTGGACTCTCTTCAGGAGTTCTTTTTTGGGGACGGGGAATGGGAAACTGAGGAGAGAACTGGCCACTGGTTCTGCGATCTTCCGAGATCGTTCATCATGCAGCGATGACAAGTGATCAAAAATGCAGCAATATTTTACAGCCAGCAGTTTGTTCGTCGTGTTTACAAGTTGATCGCTGATGGACCATGTTCCTGCGATGGGTATGACAACGTGACACGGTCATTTCAAATAGTTTCTTTGTCAAATTTCCATTTCAAATATTTTATTTTTTTATTATTAAATATTTTAAATTAACTACAATTTATCCCTTCCACTCACGATCCCTTCAGTCTCTCATCCCGAACCGACGACTCACTCTGGTGACACATTTCATTCGCTTGAGCGACGAGGAGACGAAGGAGACACTGGACAGCTGCTTTCTCCTTAATTGTCCTTATCACTTTGCCATTAGCTTTGGCTGGACCCCGATG